GCTCCGCCTTCGCTCCCGCACACGTGACATGCCCCTTGCGGCCTCCCGCGACAAGCGCTCCGTTCCCGGTACACACTGGTCCGCAGACACCGGGCTCCGCGCTGGGGGTACACCCGCCCGAGCTGCTGCCGTTTTCATTACACCATCCAAGAGACGACACCGCTTCGGTTCGGGGTCCACTGCCCAGTACCGCTGTAGGAGCAGAGGCCCAGGCACTAAGACCAGGCAACACTGAACGTCTCGCATGGCGCTCTGAAGGGATTGTGCTGGCTTCCGGCATCTACCGTGGCCCAGCACCTTCAGGCATGCTCTCATGCACCAGCTACAACAACTCCACAGAACACAGCCTTAAACACGATCTTTGACATCCCCCAGATCTACCTGAGCACAAGGACTCCCACACAGGAGCACAGTGTGGATAATGGTGTTATCACCGGGTAGTTCTCAACCCTAGACCCCAGCAGACACTCTGTGCCCCTGGGTCCAACCTGACCCGCCCCACCTTCCATGGCACTGCATTGTATAAAGGGCACAAAATCAAGCAATCTCTCCCAAACCTCCATCAGACTCTGATCAAATGCTCCAGGTCTGGCCTGAGTGACAGAAGCTCCCAGGAAAGGCGAATCCCAAACAGTCTGCCCCCAGCCTCTCGTCACTCTCTGACAAACACTCAACACTAACCACCGACTCACCCTGCCCTACACCATAGATGGCTCAAGAACGCCATCGCCTGCCTTGCACACACAGGTGCTAGCAAACTTTCAAAGTGTTTCTTTTCACTGAACAATCACACCGGATTTAAAGCCTAAATCCGTCTGCCCACTTCCCCCCTCCCCGGCACTGCCTTTGGAAGGTCCCCAGTGCCACCGCTATAGAATACCCAAGGAGAGGCTGGGGACGTAGATGGCAGCCGAGAACCTCGGGGAATGCGTTGGATCGCATGTAACTGCCCGGGCAGGAAACAGTCCCCGCTTCCTCATCATCTGCTTTTTGAACCGTCATTAAAGTGGGACACAAACCACTCAGCCCGTGCTCTCTCCCTCCCGACACCACAAGGGGCGGGAACGGTCATCGATGGCGGGAGGCTCCTGCACAAGCAGCGCCGCCCGCCCGCCTCGCGCTCAGGAGACAGCACTTCGCTCCTCCTCGTGGTTTGTGACGCCGTTCAGGTGCGATCACTCTCCTCTAGTGACCAACTACAGAAATGATCCCTGAAAGTATAGTCTTAACTTCAGCCCCCGGCGCGCACAGCCCCACCGCCGCGCACCGCCCTCTAGCACATGGACACCCGACACCGACCGACCACCCGCGGGAACCGGCACCGACCCGCCGAGCCCTGCCTCCGCGGAACCGAGCCCCGCGAGTCCCCCCGGGCCCGCCCCGGGACCCCCGGCACTGCCGCGAGTGGCGGGAATCGGGCCCCGGTTCCTCATTTGCATCGTCTGCCTGAGATGACCAATCAGACGCGCGCGCTCAGTCGCACCCCTCTCCCGGCGGTCTCAGGACTCCGCCCCAAGGCTCGGTGTCGCCCTTCAGCGGGCTCGGACAGCGCTTCGGTCGCTGCAGGGGGCTCCCCTTGAAGGAGCCGCACAAGCCGTTCTCTGCGCGCCGTTCCCGCAGTTAGCGGGGCGAGGTCCGCGGCGCAGAGATACGAGTAATGCAACGTCAACGGCAAGCATACACCTCCGAGCGGGGCTGGGGCGGCCCCCGCACCCCTCTGCGCCGCGCTGCTCCTGTGCAAGAGCGTGCACGGTCCCTCTCTCATGCCAAGGAACGACATCTGCGGCTCAAAAAAACCCAGCCTTCAGGAACAGCCAAGTGACGGGAAGAGAGAGGAGTCACCCTGGCCCAGCGCCTCTCGACAGCACTAGGCCACCTTCGCCGCACCCCTACTGTTCAGGCAGCTAACTGCTGCAGCAGCAGGAAGAGTATTCCCGTTGGAGGGCACTAATTCCACCGCACCGTAATTCCCACTGCTATTTCTCATTCATCTGTTTTTAGAACTCCAATAAAAAAAGGCCACAAACCACTCAGCCCGTGCTCTCTCCCTCCCAACACCACAAGGGGCGGGAACGGTCATCGATGACGAGCGGCTCCTGCACAAGCAGCGCCGCCCGCCCGCCTCGCGCTCAGGAGACAGCACCTCGCTCCTCCTCGTGGTTTGTGACGCCGTTCAGGTGCGATCACTCTCCTCTAGTGACCAACTACAGAAATGATCCCTGAAAGTATAGTCTTAACTTCTGCCCCCGGCGCGCACAGCCCCACCGCCGCGCACCGCCCTCTAGCACATGGACACCCGACACCGACCGACCACCCGCGGGAACTGGCACCGACCCGCCCAGCCTCACCACCGCGGACCGTGTCCCGCGGCTCCCGGGCCCATCCCGGGACCCCCGGTACTGCCGCGCTTGGCGGAAATCAGGCCCCGGTTCCTCATTTGCATCGTCTGCCTAAGACGACCAATCAGACGCGCGCTCTTAGCCAGGGGTGTCTACGGCCCCGCCCCGGGCTGCGCAGCGCAAGGGGAGCCGAGTACACACTAAGACAGATGATCCCGGTTTCTCCCTAGTCTCCTCACTCTGTGATGAACATATGGGTCACATCAGCCTCATGCACCACTGCAGGCTTGGGGAAGAGTGGCTGGTAAAACGTCTGGCATAAAAGGGCTTGGGGGTATTGGCTGACAGCTGAATAGGAACAGCAGCGTGCGCACGTGGCCAAGCAGGTGAAGAGCATCCTGGATTGTATCAGGAACAGTGTGGACAGCAGGACTTGGGAGAGATCACCCTCCTCTGCTCAGCACGAGCGAGGCTACAACTCGAAAACCGTGTTCAGGTTTGGGCCCTCACCACAAGAAAGCGAGGTGTTGGAGCGTGTGCAGAGAAGACCAGCAAACTTGCGAGCGCGTTAACTCTCAGGGAACAGCCCGGGCAGGAAGCACTCCCCGCTTCCTCATCATCTGCTTTTAGAACCGTCATTAAAGAGGGCCACAAACCACTCAGCCCGTGCTCTCTCCCTCCCGACACCACAAGGGGCGGGAACGGTCATCGATGGCGGGAGGCTACTGCACAAGCAGCGCCGCCCGCCCGCCTCGCGCTCAGGAGACAGCACCTCGCTCCTCCTCGTGGTTTGTGACGCCGTTCAGGTGCGATCACTCTCCTCTAGTGACCAACTACAGAAATGATCCCTGAAAGTATAGTCTTAACTTCAGCCCCCGGCGCGCACAGCCCCACCGCCGCGCACCGCCCTCTAGCACATGGACACCCGACACCGACCGACCACCCGCGGGAACCGGCACCGACCCGCCGAGCCCTGCCTCCGCGGAACCGAGTCCCGCGAGTCCCCCCGGGCCCGCCCCGGGACCCCCGGCACTGCCGCGCTTGGCGGGAATCGGGCCCCGGTTCCTCATTTGCATCGTCTGCCTGAGACGACCAATCAGAGGCGCGCTGTCAGTCACGCAGGCGCGGCCTCCAGGTGCGCAGCCGCACGGCGCGGAGGGAATCGCGTGCAGTGGGTGCTGCGCAGGGGTCCCGCTCGCAGCGCATTTTCCCGCAGTATCGGCAGCTGCGGCCGTGGGGCAGCGAAAACCGGATTCATCTGCAGCGTTTACACAAGGCCCTGCTCCCACGAAGTTAAAAATCCATATGTCAAAAATCCCAACATCTGAACCACACCTGAAGCATTCTTCTATCAGAATTAAAGTCCTATTTAATGAGACTATTCTTAAAGTTGACTCTTTAAGAGTTCTAGTTTTATAAAACGGAGCCAATTTCTTTACGAGCACCTTACACTAAAAGCTTAATTTTCTTCCCAAGTTATTTTCATACTTATTTACATATTGTAAAAAACACGTTTTAAATCTGTATTTAAATATATTTACAATTTTAATTCAGTAATTAGTGCCAGTTTCCCCAAAAGGCCAACTATGTATCATTATGTAAATAAATTCCATCCAGAAAACTGCACTGTACAGCATGCTATTTTTCACCCCAAATCTACTCATACAGCACAAAGTAAAACTCTTCTGCCAGTGCTTGTCTAAACTTCACTTTTACCTTGTTTCAGCAGCTTCTTTACTCTCACAGAGTTTCCTTGCCTGACACACTCGTGCAGCTGAGCTTCCAGGGAGTCACCTATGATGCTGCCAAGCTGGGTAGGGCAGGGCATGGTCAGACGGACAGTGTGAGCCATATTCTTTCCTCAACAGAACTAGGAAAGAGTATGAAAATTAATGAGCTGCAAGGTGCCACAGCTCAAAAATATATATATTTTTTTTTTTATCCCAAACCCTTCAGGTCTTCACTGAGAGGGTGGTCAGACATTGGAACAGGATTGCTAGGGCAGTGGTGGAATTACCATTCTGGTAGTGCACATTCCCTGTTCCATTCCCTGGAAGCCATATAGATGAGGCCCTTATTAACACGTTTTAGGGTGGACCTGGCAGTCCTGGGGTAATGGTTGGACTTCCTGACCTGCAAGGTCTTTTCCAACCCAGCTGATTCTATGATTCTAGCAGTTGACAAAGTCAGTTCCGGCTGTTTCCTCCAGTCAAATCCCAAGATGAACGGTGAAAGCACCTCCCCTCCCCTCCCTTACCCTCTGAGACAAGGCCTGTCCGTGATGCTAATGAAGGGCTACTTGTGGCACCAGTCTGGCCATGGGGAAACGTGGCCCTAAGGAGGAAAAGGGAGAGGTGAGAACCAGAGTGCGGCAAACACCGCTTAAGCCTGACAGGTGTGTCATCCTCTGGCACGACAAAGCCAGCACCGTTCCCTGATCGGGTCACACCCCGGAGCCTTTTGGCTGCTTCAGCCCCTTCTAACGGCCCAAGCCCAACCCCATCCCGCCTCACCGCCTCACCGCCTCACCGATACCTCCCCGACGGTCGCAGCACGCGCTCACAGCCTCACGCACCGCACATGCGCAGAGGCCACCGCCGCCTCCACCTCCCTTCCCGCCGCCGGTGGTGGGCGGGGCCCGTCGGGCCGGTGGGCGGGGCTGTGGTGGCCTAGCGGGGCCGCGCCATGCAGCGCGATGTGGGGAGCCTTCCGCTGGCGCCTGCGGTGCGCACTCGGCTCGTTAGCGCCGGCTTCCAGACGGTGCAGGAGCTGCTGGAGACCGGCCCCTGCGGGCTGAGCAAAGGTACCGGCGGGAGGGAGGGAGGAAGGGAGAGAGCGAGCGAGCGGCTCCTCCGCCGCTTCCCGCCATTCCTCTGCGAGGTCTCCCGCAGCCCTTCCCTTTCCGCTGTAGCTGACTGGCGCGGGTGGGGTGTCGGCAGGTTTAACCTTACCGGAGGGTACCCCATCCCAGGCAGTGCTCAAGGCCAGGCTGGACAGGGCTTGGAGCAAGCTGCTCTAGTGGAAGGTGTCCCTGCCCGTATCGGGGTTTGGGACTGGATGAGCTTTAGGGTCCATTCCAGCCGAAACCATTCTGTGATCCTATGTGGTTAGTGTACACCGAGCAGCTCAGGCAGGTGAGGGGCTTGATCCATACGGAAGGGCCGTGGCTCGGCTCTGGGAAGCTCCCCTGCGCAGCCTGAGACCCCAGTGAGCCTGGGCGAATGGACAGAGTTAAACCTTTCCCGGATTTCAGGTTTGCCTGAGCAGAGAAACAGACAAAACCCGATGATTCTGATAAAAGATTCTTCTTGCAGTGAGTGATGGGTGTCAATGGGATGCAGAAAAGGGAAAAAACAAAGGATTCTCTCTCATTCCTCTTCTTTCCCCATCTGTATGTTCTTTAAAGTAAACTTCCCTGCAGTCAGAAAGTCACCTTTTTCAAGTTAAAATAAGATTTCTAAGAAACATTTAATGATAGTTTTATTATCTGTAATAAGATGTAATAGTTTTGCCTTGAAGATCAAAGTGAAGTAGCTAGAGTCTGACATATATGTGCGTAAAGGCAGACACGCAGAGGTGTTTGCTGGTGTCTCATCTTTGTTACTGGGTATGTGTTTCAAATCTAGAGGTGACACATGAGGTATACAGCCCTGGAATACCCCAAGAATTCGGAGCACGATCAGTAGCTGTCCTTGTCACTTACCAGTCTGCAGCCTGACTTCTTTTCCAGGACTTTATTTGCTTGAAATTAAATGAATATGATGGGACATTCCGTGCAGAATAGGTGACTTGCTCTGTCAGATCTCACTCATGTAGTGAACGGCAGTTTTGATTATTTTTTCTATTTGCAGACAGCTTACTGGCACCTGAATTCTGAACACAGGACATCATTGCTGAGCTCTTCTGAAAATCATATAATTAGTTCCAGAGATGTTGGCAAGCTGTATGCATCGTTGTACTAAAAGGATTAATATTTTGTGTTACACTGCAGAACATTCAGTTTCTGTAAAACAAGTTGAATTATCTCTTTGTACTTTCAATAAATCACTATTTATAAAAATAAGGTAGTGTTTCATGCTTTTGACTTTTCTAGAAACTGGAATCTCCAAGGAAGAGGCCCTGGAAGTGTTACAGGTTGTGAGGCAGGAATGTCATGGGGATGCAGCAAGGACCGCTGCAAGATCAGGTGCCTCCCGAAAATGCACCGCCCTGGAACTTCTGGAACAAGAGCAAGCCCAGGGCTTCATCATCACCTTTTGTTCAGCACTAGACAATATTCTAGGAGGTGGTGTGCAGCTAACCAAAATCACCGAGGTCTGTGGAGCACCTGGTGTTGGGAAAACACAGCTATGGTATTTCATTTTTAGATTACTTTTGGGTTTCTTTGAGGAGAGATTATCTTTCTTGTTGTCAATCTCTGATTCTTCTACAGCATTACAAATAAAATCATGATAATGGCTGCAGTGCTTCCTGCTCCATGTATTCCTCAGCAGAAATGTCACTTCAGGAGTTGGGGAGGGGAGAGCTTTGTGACGTGGATATTTATCTGTTTTTTTCTGTTTTCCCTGGCAGTATGCAGTTGGCGGTAGACGTACAGATCCCAGAATGCTTTGGAGGTGTAGCTGGAGAAGCTGTGTTCATTGATACCGAAGGAAGTTTTATAGTAGACAGAGTAGTGGATATTGCAGCTGCCTGTGTGCAGCATTGCCACCTTATTGCTGAAGCTCATCAAGAAGAAGGTACGTTGCCAAGTCATTTCTTTCTGCCTCGTAGACTGGGGGATCAGAGTGAGATGCGTGACTCCTGGGCTGCAGTTCTACCATTTCAGAAGTAGTGTTGGCTCCAGAAGTTCTTGCTGCCAGTCTTTAATTTCTACCTGAAATAAAGCATCATACCCTAAACAGCGTCAGCATGTGGAGCCCATGCTGCAGACTGAGCTGATCCACTTTAAGCATAATTCTTCTGTGTGACAGTTTGGAGGGGGTTTTGCCCCTCTTTTTCTTTTTTAGCACTTGAATGAATGAATTCACAGCAAAACACAATTCTGTCAGCAGAACTTGAGGGATAATATGGGACAGGAAGAACAGCTGGGGAAAGGGAAGAGGAACAATAGAGGCAGCGTTGCTGCTGAAGCCCCATACTGTAAAACTGTAGTTGGAGTTCACCTCCTTCATGAGGTCAATATAGCCAAGATGCATTCAATGAAGAGTAGTTCTAGAATTCTAGAACTCATCAGTGTGTTGGGGATACTGACACAACTTTTGTGTTACTCTTAAGAGTATTTTATGCAGCAAACTTCTGTTTGAACTGAATGGACACCATATTAAATGAGCTACTACCTGTACATGAAGCAACAGATGATTAATAGTCAGTGTTGTCCTCTGGTGGTGATCTGGCTTGAAAATGATTTACTGGAAAAGTTCTATTTTCAGAAGTAGATTTTTCATTTTTGGAGCACTCCCTTGGAGGCTCTGGTGTATCTGTGTGCGAATGCTGAGATAGCATCTGCTCACCACTTTCTTGACTTTCAAGCCAGATGGAAGGTATGTTTCCCACACTCTGTACCTTGACTGTTTCTGTTTCCGGGGGTTCTGCTGTTGCTATATGTGGAGGGCATCGTTCGGTAGAATGATGAAAGTAGCAATATGCTATTACAGACTTCTGACTCATTTACTCATCTGTTTATCTGTTCTCAGATCATCTAAAAGCTTTGGAGACTTTCTCTGTTGAAAGTATCCTTTCTCACATATATTACTTCCGTTGCCGTGACTACATAGAGCTTCTTGCACAGGTCTACCTCCTCCCAGACTTTCTTTCGGAGCACTCAAAGGTAAGGATTATATCAGGGAAGATACCACTCGTCTTCACACTAAGGATTTTCAAGGTTGCTCAGCTGTTATAGTAAGAGTAACATGAGTAACGCCTGGGTACCTTGTCAGCTTGGCAGTAATGTATTGGCTGATGGTGGAGTACAAATGTAAGCTTGGCTGCTTGTTTGCTTTGTCATTCCCATCCCAATTACTCTTGAAAGCAATTTGCTTTTGCTACCACTGCTGCCATCTTTCTGAATCTCCATTTTGAAGTGAAGATACTGGACCTCTGTTGCCACATGTTTTGTTTCTATAAGCACCGAGTTCTGAATCGTTATAAAACTGCTTTACAGAAGAATCTCTGACCCAGGTGTATGTGTGATGACCATGATGCAGGGGGATCAAAAAGGCTTAGTGCCACTCACTTCTGTCGTAGAAGATCACTGAGGACCAGAAGCATTCTGTACCATCCTGACATACACAAAGGGACTTCTTCTTTCCCACACTTCTGTTGCTACAAGCAGCCAGAGCCTGCAGTTGGACTCTTGGGTGAACTACAGCCAAAAAGTTTCCTAGTTCCTAGCGTTTTAGTGAAATGCTATTGTAGGGCAGATTTTCAGCACCTCTTTTCCAGATTTTTAGGTTCTAACAGGATTTGGGAAAGATGAAGTGTACCCCATTCTAATGGAGCACAAATCAGTGTTGTTTAGTTAAATTGTCTTTTGTATGTAATTTCAGTTTTTGGAAGCTGTTATCTTCTTGAAAGCACAGATGGGAGTCTTTCTTTTGCTTAGTGTAGTCTGGTATTTCCCTTTCTCTGCCAGGTACTAACGGTGCCCTGTTATGTTTGCTCTTGTGGAAAGTACAGTTGCATTAGCACAGTTGCATTGGGCTGCAGTTCTCTGGTACCATCTGTGCTGATTATCTGTGCTTGGCCTGGAGCCTGAAATACTACTGAAGGTTGCAGGAGAACCATAAGACCTTCTGATGATTCCTTGGATAGGATATAAGTGACTTGACAGATTGCTCATTGCAGTCCAGCTCTCATTAAAATTAGTCTGATCCCAGTGTGCAGACCTGGAGCTGAGACTGGGACCACAGAAACCTACAGATTTTAGGTATTTTTTTTTTTTGAGAGACCTAGTTGTAGAGTGTCATTTGGAAACAGGAATTAGTTTGAGATCTTGTTAAGAATATGAGAGAGGCCAATAATATGAAAAAGGCTATGTTAGAAAATATTCTTGTCATAATAAATCTAGTTCTTTAAGGTCTAGTAGAGACGCACTGGCATGGGGAAGGCATTTGTTACCAAGCTTTCTCTATACAGCCTATGTTGGAATACTTTACGTCTACTTGTTTGTTATTTTATAGGAAGTAACCACTGCAAGAAAATAAACTAATCTGCATCCTACCTGGACATATTAATCTGATAGGCAAGTTATATGTATGTATATGTTCCATTCTAGCACAAGTAATTTTTTTCATTTGGAGGTTCAGGGCCATTTCACAGAGTGATGTTTGCGGCAAGCTTGCATGTTCCAGTCACAAAGCGACTTCCCAGTAATGAGTTAAATCTATAATAGAGACAACCCATGTTCTTGTGTTGTTTCCCATTTGTTATCTTGTGCATTAATGCAAGGACTTGCAGATACCTAGGATTTGAGTGACATCTGATCATGTAGATGCTGTAAAACTATCCATTTCCCTTCTGTATTTCAGACACTGATGACTTGGGTCATCAGAACAGCCACAGCAAATGAAGTTAGAATAAATCAAAGTCCCTGACTAATGTTTATCTAGTGTCTTGAGGGTGATGGGCCAGCAGCAGCATTGTGTTCAAGCTTCAGCTAATGATTGCTACAAAAGAAACAATTCAGCAAAGCAAACATCTTCAGGCAAGATAGATACTCAGCTCCATTGCACAGTGTCTGGAATGTCTTCATGCATCAGTTCAACTCCATGTTTCTCAGATAACTCATCTGATTCTGTATCAGTGATCTATCTTAACAGTGACTACAGACAGCATGTGTTCTAATCTTGTTAGGATTTATTTTTTGAGGGAAAAGGTGAAATAAATTAGTGTTCATGGAGTACAACCTTCGTGTTTAACAATTTATTTTTCTCCAGCTCCTCTTCTGCAAGGCTTTAAGTCCAGGTTTATTATTTTGTATTCTGTATGGGGTGCTCCAGAGAAGTCAGCTCTAAGTGAGCAAGCTCTGGAACTGGAAAGAGCTCTGTGCTGCCTTAACTAATGGGATATATTAGTGCAGCATTTTGTTTAAGCTAGTGCAGCTACAGTCTGAGCTAGTATCCCTTAATAAAGCAGTACTGCACTTAGCAAGTGTCTTCGTGTGTTCAAAGCTTGGAGCTGTTTACTCTGCACTCTTATGGAGTGCTGATTGTTCCCAGTATATATCTAGAGACAATAGGTGTTACGCTGTTAATGCACATTTGAGTATGAAATAAGGTTGTCATCACCTTATACAAAACATTCCAGTGCACTTAAAAAGATGTCTTGCTGCTTTTTGTCATTTGCTTGTAGGATAATAAAGGTAGTTCTCCTTTTCTTCCACGTTTAGGTCCGACTGGTGGTAGTTGATGGAATTGCATTTCCTTTTCGCCATGAGTTTGAAGACCTCTCACTCCGGACAAGGCTTTTGAATGGTCTGGCGCAGCAGCTGATCATCATAGCAAATGATCATAAGTCAGCAGTAAGTCTGGCGCAGGTTTAGATCAGAAAAGATGCTACTTTAGAATAAATGCATTTCAAAGAATGAAGCAAATGTGATTTGCTGGAAATAGCAAAATAAAACTGCAAGAATGCCCTCTACATCCGTGTTTGCCAGTTTAGCTAGTAAATACTGGGGCGTGGGGTGGGGCACAGGCAAAACTATTTGGGTGGAAAATTCCTAGACTTGCCAGAATAAGTAAAATCTTTATTAAAAACATCCTGTGGATCTTAATTAATTGGTAGCATATCAATCTATCGTGCTGTTTCACATAATCTTTTTAATGATTTGGTTGGACAAGGAATGACTTTGGTGACTTTCTACCTATAGAACACACACAAAAAATACATCAGAGTATTCGGCAGTTCCAAATACTGTCCACTCTTTGTTTAAAAATAAACTACAGTCTTAGTGGAGGAACTGTTCTTAGGGAGGAAAAGCACTTTATCTGCTGGTTTGGTTTGCTCTTCTGGCATCCATGGAAACTCACAGCTTCCTTCCTGGGCATTGTTTCTATGTCATTTACGCCAAGATGGAGGCCAGCAAATCTGCAGCCCAGTAGCCAGCAGATGGCACTCAGAAGCTACATCTGTTCCAGAAGTTGTTTCAGCAAGTCCTTTACAGTACAGAAAAACATTGTTCAGGAATTGGAGCTTAAACCATCTCAAAATGGTACTTGTGCCTGCAATTCTTTCCAGGTGACTTGCAGCCTTGTCACCCACAACTCTGGTGCAAATGGGTTTTGTTCCTCACTGCTAAAAATAAGCCTCCCCTTGTGCTTCCTCTGATAGCTGCAGGAAGGGACGGAACACAGCTCTACATTCCGCCCTGGTGAAGCGATTGGGCTTGCTGCTCAAACCATACCCTCTCTGTCATCCTGAAATGAAATATGAAGCTTTTTGCTGGTGTGGGTACCAAGGGAAGTGAATGTTTTATGACTGCTTGATTTTGCACAGCCTCCAGTTTACTGAGTGCTTTCACTCATAAATTTGGTACCTGGTGACCTTGAACAAGAGCAGTTGTCATTGTACAGTCTGTTTTTCTTTGGTCAAGGGGCACATATGTCACTTCTTTCTATTGAACAAGTGAGCAGTTTAGTACAAGCACTTGCTGAATAAACACTTGCTACAGAAGCAATAAACACAGAGCTTCAGAAATGATTTAGCTCCGAGTGGCCCTCCTGTTAGTTTTTTGAGTTAGTTCCATGTAGCTTGCAAGCAGTCTAAATTCAGCTGCATGCCAGAGATTGCTCCTTGGGCAGCAAAGCTGGGCAGACTGAATGCTCTTAATATGGATGGGAGTTTGTTTAGTTTCTAAAGCTGAACTCAGTGGGTTGTGCTATGATGTCCAGAGCAGGCCATCTCCAGCTCCAGTGAAACAGGGAGCCTGTTTGGGGTTGTTACCATCCATATATGATGAGTTACTTTTCTAAAATACACAGTACATGCCTTAAGGATGTCAGCTATGTAAATGTCTTAGGTGTGTGCCCTCTGTGCTCAGTGGAGTTGCTTGCTCTAGCACACTTTAACTGTTCAAGCAAGAATTGTACAAGCATGTCAAACAATGAAAACCCCATAGGTTTAAGATAGGTACAATTTTTTTATTTTTAATTTTTAATGAACTTTGCAATTAATATTCCTGGCTCTTTTCTGTCTCACCCACCCCCACTTCTACCAGGGATCTAACCTAGACTGTCTGTGAACCTCCTACAAGTGATTTGTGCTGCGAAAACACTCCCCCGCTCTGTCTGTTCACTTTTCATTCTGCTTTGTATTGTACCCACTTGCGCATTTTTAGAAGACAAGGCACAGAAATTCTGTTAATCACTAGGCTTATGCATGTTTTGAGCAGCAGCACCAAATTCATTAATGCCAATGACTGAAAGCTGTCTCTTTACAGAGGGCTGGTGCAAGTCATGTGAACCTAAATACAGATCCAAACAGTATTTAGTACAAATACAGTGGAATATACAGTTTGCATCCCTTGGGGAGGGAGAAATTTAGGTTTCTTTCAAGTCTTGAATGAAAGAAATCTACCTCCCATGCAAATGGAAAATACATTTTTCAGGGTTCTATTATTTTGTTTGGGCTATTGAGCAGATGAGGCACCTTTACAGTTTCTTCTTGCTAACATGGATCTTCACCTGAGGAACTACTTTATTGTTAAAAGCTTTTTGAAAAATGGCTCTCTTCCCTCCCACCAGTGTGCTTATTTTCTGGAGATTTTCTTGTTTGTGTGCTTCTGTTTCCTCTTTTAGGTAGTTCTGACAAACCAAATGACAACAAGGATTGGACAGAGCCAGTCCACACTGGTACCTGCTTTAGGTAGGCGTTTAGCTTGAGCTGAAAATTGAGTTTATCTTCAAATATATGACTTTGTTTCTTTTGGCATTGTGTGCAAAGAAAATGAAATTGCTTGCTGAATTTCTGCAGTGTAGCAGAATCCACGGTGAAAGCCATTCCAGATGGGTCTCAGGCTAGTATTGTGGAACTCTGCAGTAGTGTTTACCTATGGCAGCTTTGTCAGTATAATGAGCAGCTATCAAACTTTATTCTAAACTCAAGCATGGTGTGCAGATTAAAATCCTGCTTAGATTTTTTAAAAGGGATTACAAATATTTTTAAAAGTAGTGACATTTTCAGATTGCAGAAACTCACAGGTTGAGAGTGTTGTTGGATATTTTTTTCCCTTTTAAAAACCAAGAATGTTAATGCTAAACTTGCTATTAAATCTATCAGCATTCCTTTAAGATGACTGCATCACCCTTTATGGGGAAGCACTAGATACTAAGAGCTCTGAGTAAGTAGCTTTTTAGAAGCACAGCTAATGTACTGCAGCCTTCCCCTGAGGATCTAGGCTGTTACCTTTATCCTAGCTGTGGCTGTGTCAACTAAGGAGGCCACTACCCCTGCTTGAGGTCACTGCTGCATCCTATATGCTGGCTGAGCTGTTTATTGATTGTCTCCTAAGCCATTTCTGCCAAAAGTGGCCCAGTGAAATTCGAGCCATTTAAATAATAAGTAAACCTCTGATAAATCAAGTAATTTAGACTGCAATTGGCTGGTGAGTATCTTACAGAAAATGCAGGGATGGACCTGGGAGCAGTAAACCTCTAGCAGGAATGTGGTGATGAACAGATTAAACCACTAATAGAATAACACAACTTAATAGTTGCACACTTCAAACTATGCTGCAATTTCTTCAATTCGCTGAGAATCATCTACTGCTTTTCCAGAACAGTTTAAGTTGTTTATTTTGCCATTGCACTTGAGCATGTTCCATTAATTATTTGCAAAGTCATTGCATATTTGCTGCATAGCTGGAGCTCCCTACCCATTGTTCAGTGCAGTTACGGCATAGAGAGAAGTTATGTGTGGGATCCTCAACTACAGCCTGTCTAGAGTGAGTTTAAGTGTTTTTTACAGGCTGCTCAATTTTGCCCTGTAATGAGCAGAGTACCTCATACAGATTCTTTTGCTGCAGTCACAGGGGAAAATAGAACAGTTCTTCTCAAGTAGAGATTTTGACACATTAAGAAAAAGCTCAGTGTTTAAATCTTCTTTCAGGTCATAACTTTGTATTATTTTATGGTACACTTAAAGGGCAACAAATCCTCTGTCCACAGCTTCAGTTTCTGTGGACTAAGTAATGATTCCCTTGTTCCGGAGCAGAGGGAGAAGGGGACACACACAAAGGCAAAGATAATTCCCAGTGTCTGTACAGGCATTGAACCATTTGGCAGAGATGTAAGATAAAATGAACAAATACAGACTGTCTCCATCGAGCATGTGAAGAATGTGGAATTTTGGGCTGTGCACGCAGATATAGACCCAGCTTCTAGTGTCTGACCCTTCTTGTCATTTTTGCTTCTTGCTCTCTGATATATTATTTTTGGCAGCCTTTCTGGCTATAAACTCAATTCAAGTTAATAGATTCTGTCTTTTTATTTCAGTAGCCAGTGTTTGAAAGGTGGTGTGTTTATGGAGTCATAAGGATAGTAAAGAATGTGAAGACATACAGAGTAGGTTATAATTCAAAGATATCACGTATTGTCTTGTGCATATTTTCTTTTACAAATATTTAATTCGACATAACCTCACCCACACTGACCATATACTGATTGTGATTCTCACCAGAATGGGTGCGTAGTAAACATACAGTATTGTTGAGTTGTATGTACTCTGCAAAAGTGAAACTTTGCACCAGTTGTTAAAATATTTAGGTTAAGAGATATTCCCCCTATCCTAAACAGCCTTTTCTGAGATTTCACAAGAGCATTAATCTCTAAACTCTTATTCAGCTTCTCAGCAGAAGGGAACTTCTTAATTATGGGGAAAAAAAGGCACAGATGCTGCAAGGTATTAAGTCAAGAGCTTTATGAAGAGGACAGCTTTCTTTCCCACTAGTAATAGCTAAGCTGGGTGTTCCTAGACATTTCTACTGGATATATTTAGAAAGGAGGTCAAATATAAATCTGCAGCCAGTTTAACTCAGAAATACCCCATTTTACCGTAGCATTTTTCTTTCATACTCGATACAGTTGGAAACATTCTAGTGTGGAATTTGTACCCATTGTAAAATGTGTTTTGATCTCTGACTCAGAACTGTATCTGATGACTAGAATCTTCAGTCTCAACTTGCATATAGTGGAGCAAGGTCTAGCAAGATACCTACAGGGTCTAGGTCTTCATTACAGCTGAATCTTATTTTTTGTCTTCTCTGTGCTGTAATGAACACCAGAGCACATGGGGCATGTGGGGCTAGTGACATGATGCAGACCAACAAGTGATTCAGAAGTTAATGGGGCTGTATGGAGGTGAAGAGGAGAGGCTTGCAGCACTGAAACAAAATGACTGGTTTCAAATGCAGTCCATCTTTGGACTACTGACTGTATCCAGGGATAAACGGAGGAAAACACCCAATAAAACTGTCTATAAATTGACTGAGCTCATGGTCAGGTGTGAACTGAAACAACAGGACTATTTCCCCTGAAATAGGATAACAATCCAAACTTCCTTCTTTCTTTCCACCATGCCCTCCCTCTTGCATTTGGTTGTGTTCTTTTGCATTTTGCTGTCAGAAGCAGAAGACTGCTTCAGGGGCCCTTAATACTTTAATAATCATTGACTTTTCTCCCAAAGCTTGTATCCCAAAGGGAGTGATGTTTGCTCATAATTATTCCTGAGAGGCAGAGTATCAGAATTTTGAAGTAGGATTTAGCCATACTCAACTAGGCTCTTTCAGTAGTAATTAGAAAAATCTTTTCTTAATGCTATGTCTGTTTTCAAGACTTGTCTAGTACCTGTCCTTTATTAGTTATATAGAAAATCTTTCTACAAATATGGAAGTACTGCATCAAGCTTTCTATAAAACACTGATTATAGAGGTTATTCCTTGTCTCAGTGTACTTGGTAAACTAGTTGTGAAATCCTTGCACATTGATACAAAATACGTGATTTATTACTGCGAGAAAGGTGTATATATGTTTAATCATAGAGGTTTTTTGGAAGACTGGTCTAATTTACTGATGATGGTGCTGCTATAGGAGCATAAATAAAATGGCCTCTATTTTGTGTCACTCAGGAGAAAGCTGGGGACATGCTGCTACTGTCCGTTTAATCTTTCACTGGGACAACAGTCAGAGGTAAGTGAAAGTGTAAGCAGTGAAGTACATAACACTGACCAATGTGATAATTTGAGAATCCTTCCCTGAATGGCCAAACAAAGATTTGAACGTGACTTCCAGCTTTGCTCTGCCATGTCCCAGGCTACTGCAGCTCAAGAAGAGCTTTCTAGTTCAGGCTAAGACAGCGTGGGCTGAACTGTCATGCTCCTCCCTCTCACCATGGTCAGCTTGCTGCAGTGCTGTACTTTCTTTCTGACAAGATGCTATGTCTCATCAAACTATAACATCCTAACGGCAGCTGCTCAGACACAAGAACTGAGGATCTGGTGCCTAAGTAGAAATTTTTACTCTCTGTATTTTGTTAAGCAGGGAGTAGAATGTCTTTGCTTCAGCCTTTTAGGCCCCAGTCAGTACAAAGCCAAAGATGCCAAAGGTAGCTTTCCACCTAGGTAGCAATTCTCAGGACAGAAAAAGCTTGCTGAGCCCTGAGCCTTAGTGGCAGCCTTTGAACCTTTCTGCTTTTGAATGTAGCAGGATGGTTCCAAGTTACAATGACCTGCAGGAAGAGCTTCATTTACTCCCAGTTCAGAGCTGAGTTATGGAGGATGATTTTAGCAGCACAAAGGAATGAGGATGACCCTTCTAAAAAACCATATGAAGTTCTGTTTCCTGGTTCTTTTTTTTTCCTCTTCAGTATATTGCAAGCTCACTTCTCTTTCCTGGTCAGTTAGATTTGTCTTGTGTGTAATATCACAGTGCAGCACCTTGGGATTATGAAGTCTTGCTTCAATTCCCTAATCTTCTGCAAACAGTGAACAAAAATGCTGCTGGAATGTTGTTGTGCATAGTTTGGCTTGTTAAACCTGAAAGAGACAGGCAGTGACACTTTCTTGTGGAGTTTTGGTTTTTTAAAGTCTAAGTTTGAAGGAAATGCAGAATGATTACAGCAGGCTGTTTATGTTGGAATTAAATTAACATCACTGATCAGTTAACAGCCTTTATAAGACAGAAGTTGCATCAACACAGTGATTGCAGAGTGAACAAAAGTTAATTTTATGTATCAAAACTAAGGAGGTTTTTTTTCTTCTCCAACAGCTAGGAAGGTTGTAGATAACATGTTTCAGGAAGTGAGCCAAAGATAGACAAACATGTTTTATTTACTGTTCTAAACGTGTAGCTAATATGGAGCAGGGCAAGCAGAAGCACAGCAATTCCGGTGAAAGCTGCCTAACTGTAAAAAGCAGCAATAGCTACATTCTGTTGCATTTTTCACACAAGCTACCTATACCTGATGATACATCAGGGCTTCTTGTTATTTTTATATTAAGCTATTGAGGCACAAAGATATTTGAGTATCCATTTGCCACCTTCTTCTTTATTAATTGTGCTTTGGCCTAATATGATACCTGTCTCTTTCCTTCTACTACTGAAAATGGCAGAGCTTAATTATAAGGGGGCTTATTGCTGTGAGGTAAGATCCTGTTGAGTCAGAGGCATGCAGCAGAGCTCCAGCTGAGCACTTGTGAAAGTGTGGCTTCTGCAGCTTCAGATTTAGGCTATTTTGTGAAGTATAACCCACCCCTTAAATGTTCTGAGGAATTCCCTGTGTAGCTAATGTGAAGTGGCAGTGTTCCTCAGGCTGTAATTACGTGCTCTCTAATAGAATGGCACCTCAGGGAGGTAAAAAAACCCTGAAAATAATTAACGGGATCTTTGGCAGGGTGTCTTGATACAGATAGCAGAACACTTTCCATACTGGCTTCACCTAAGTGTGAGTTTTGGGGAGGTGAGCATGGTTTAGACTAGCATCAGCCCTGGGACTGGTTGAAAAATCCCTTATTTTTGAGCTGCTGTGCAGTCTTCTTAAAAGCAGGCATTTATTGGGCTAGGTGCTACCACAAATCAAGATGCATTGCTTAGAGTCTAAATGCACAAAATCAAAGAGTTAGACAAGAAATACAAGGAGACTATTTTCTCAAGGTTATGCTGTGTGTCAGTGGCAAGATCAGGCTTAGAAATAGAACATCTTATGCTCCTTCTCTATCGACTAGGTGATATTGACAGGACTGGGAAATATCTAGGAAAAAAAAAACTTCCCTAGAATATGAATTCTTGAGGGTATCTCCCAATGTCAAGATGTCAGTGAACGAAAGATTGCTTAACAGAATAGGAAAAAATTGTGCTCAAAACCTTGTTTGCATTTTAAAAGTGGTGTTTGGAATTGCTTCATAATGAGTATTTTTTTAAAAAATGATGAAATCCTGTGATGAAACAACGGTGATTAATCACTCGTTTTAGTAGGTCTACATTGTATTTGAGCTGACAGGGCATATAAGGATGGGAAATTGGCATCCACACTTTAAATACCTATATGAAAATACCTACATAAGAATTCCACTGGTCACATACCCCATGTTTATGGGGAAAACTTGAATCTAGTCATTTGGCTACTTGGAATTGTTATTATTGTATTCACTAATCATAATTATCTGGTGTTTTTTCTTTAACCAGGCTGGCTACATTGTACAAATCACCAAGTCAGAAGGAAGCAACTATACCGTATCACATCACAGTTAGTATTTCTTTTGGGCTGGAAATTGCTAGCTGTAAAGGAATTTTCAGATACAAAGACAAATCTGTGAATGATGTTTTCTTAGTGTTGCTTTTCAGTTGCCTTATGAACGTAACTGGTAATACTGGGATGTCTCCAGGTTTATTAATATTTTGCACCTTTTCTCTTTAGAAAAATGACCCAGCATGTTAGTTCTCTTAGAATTAAAACATTTTGATTTCCAGATCAAATTTATAGGCAGCCTGTCCCCATTTGTTCTTCTGCTAATACTGCTTATTTTATCTGCCCTTGATGTTAACTTCTGGCCTAAGTGCAATTACAGAGAACAATCACACACTTGCTGAGCATTCATTTTGGGAGACTTGGACAAGCCAAGCTGCGTTCTCCCTTGTCAGGTAGTATGCTATTGTTTCCTTAGTGGCTCTTCTCTGCATCTTCCAGGTGAGTTTCTCTGTCTAAGACAAAGGTGAGCTGAATCACACATGGTATTGCAGAGGTTTTACCAGTACTTTGTGCCATACATATTTCCACATCTCTGCTTTAAGTGCATTGCCTGATACAATCTAGGTTGTGTTTCTCTTTCATAGCTCCATTCTACTGGTAACCCTATGACCAGCCAATATATACAGATTTTTCTATTCTGCCACTGTCACATGAGGAGTTTCCAGCTTATGGTTGGAGTTCTTATTCACCCCTAGTTAAATCCTGTGATTTTCTTTTGTGGAGTCCTTAGATACATATTAATAAGAATACACACAGCCTAAGCTGTATTTAGGTTAAAAAAAAAAAATCCAGCCCCACCACTCGACTCTTATATCTCAAAATGTCAGATACATAGGTACATGCCATACCTATTTGCCACGTGTCCTCACGGAAACACACTGCCGTAGCACTTCCTGCAGATTTGAATGCTGCCATGAGATCTTCAAACTATTGAATAGGTATTTCCTTTTTCAGTCCTGAATGTATTCACCTAGACAGAAGAAATATTGCAAATATATATATGTAAAAAAAAATATATATATAAATGTTATGTAAGGACTGGAAGGATAAGTGGGACCACATCCCAAAGTTGTTTGGATCGTGCGATGTGAGCTCAGCCCTTTCTCACCAGCTGATAAACAGATGGACTTTACCTTAGACAGTTTAATAGCCTTTTCCTTTCAGTTCTGTATGCATTATAAAACAGATATACTCTCTTCTTCAGTGTGGATGCACACAATTTTGAAATACAGTTGAGAGTGTATCCTAATCAAAGATTAGTTAAAATTTTAAAAGATTATCCCAGTGTTTTTCCTGTAATCCTGTTGAGCTGCTTCAGCAGACAGTTTCTGGAAGTAAAAAATGTATTATTCCTGTTTTTTTTTAACTCCTCAAATTCAGGCCTGATGGTAACGGTCTGCTGTTAGCATTTCTCATTCCCATCTCTGCAGCTAAACTGGAGAATGTAAATACGTGTTCCATGTTTCCAAATCTGATCTAGCACATCTATGCATAACCAGCATACAAAAAAAAATAATTAAAAAATAATAAATTCCTCAAGCCTATTTCCTCAAAGATGTTTAGACTTAGACAAATTAGATACTGTGGTACCATTGGCAAACCGGCTGTTCACTCTGAGCAAGTGTGGAAGCTGTGGAACATGTATCAGATGAAGTATTTTCTTTCACAGGCTGGTTAAGGATTCATTCTTAAATGTAGAGTATAGAAATGTAAATTGATTTATGCACAAGGGAGTAATTATATCATCTGATCCACCTAAATTTCCCAGGTACTGTAACATGATTATTTCACTATAAAAGATAGAGCCCTAGGACCTATATTCTCAGCAGGAATAAACAGTATTTCCCTGAACTGTGGAGGGTCTGCCAGACTAGCAATGAGAACACCACTCAAGTAATAAAGCCATCTGCTTTTGTCAACCTTGATGCAGTCTGTAGCTGCCAGAAAATGTTAAAGAAAAAATCAAAATGACTGTAGACTGAGCTTTGTAGGTCCTTGGTTCCATTGCCCACATGGTTGATACCTAAAACTCACTAACAAATATACAGATAAACCACTTCAAAATAATATACACAAAAACCGTGTAATTTTGAGGTACTCTGTCCAGAAGGGCTTTAACTAAAAGCAAAACCTCCATACTAAGCAGTCTACTTTATCATGTTCTGGCCTTTATAAGCATTGGAATGCTTTTGCTGCAAGTCTAGCATGCTGGATTAAGTGGATTCTTGGCTACAGATCCACCTTTGTGCCTGAGGGAAATGGCAGAGATTAGATGCAAGCAACAGTGAAACACTAAACTTGAAGATTCCCCATTACGCTATTCAGAATAACACTTGAGTTGCTTATAATAGCAGAGGGACTGCACAAATACTGCCCTTGTGGCACCTCTTGCTGTTTGTTCCTTTGAAAAATTAGCAGGCTGCGTGAGGTGAGGCATTTGGAAATAGAAATACAGAGGTAGGACACTTCAGCAAAACATTCTGATTGGGTTTTTACGTTGTTTTGGATTGATCTCAGTGTGGGACACACTGGTGTTTTAGGAAAGTCACATGTCTGATAGTAACTCTACCTGCTTTTTCACACTGCACCAACACAAAATGTCAGCTTTAGATGAAATTCTATCATCCCCCCATTGTCTCTACCTGAGTATTTAGGATCCCCAAAGCAATTTCTTTTTCAGATTAACCCCTTTTCCTCTCTAAGTCTGCACTGCAGTGAGAGTCGTCATTGTGCTGTCAGCAGTGCTCCCTGCACAGCATTTGCTGGGAGATGGGAAGATGGACAGTCACAGGCTTCACATCCCATCTCAGTATTTCCATCTGCATTGATGACATGATTAACTAACTGCTTTTCCAGATATTTAAAAATCTTTAAAAATCATTAAATTGTGAGGTACAGTAACAGAAAATACAAATGGTACTAAGCCAAATAGATCACTTTAAGCTCTTTCCTGAGTAGCAGCATCTCATTTTCACTTCCACATTTAGTTTTTGGCAGTTAAAGGTTCTCATCCCACTGTGTCCCATAAATTACTATGCTGGGACAGTCTTTGCAGTCTAGAGACTGTTTCAAATATGCTGTTCTCTTACAGTGTCTCATTGATGTTTTCAGTTCATTAAGTAGATACATGAAAGAAAAATACCCTAGGTTTTAGAAATTCAGAGTTCTGTTTCTGAAAATGACTGAGGCAATTAATCCAGTCATCTCCTTGCTTCTGTGGAAGCTTGAATAAGGGCTGAAGGATTTGGCTTTTAATTTATTTAAATAGGCAACTTAATTTACAAAGAAGCAGTGCTTCACAGCCATAGGGGTTATCAGTGATAAAATGAAAATAATAGCCTGGTTGGTGAAAATAATAAAATGATGAGATTCAGTTATTAGTTGGCACGTGTGAAAAGACTTGCTGTTCTGAACTTAGCCTGGTCTAAAAATGGTCTGTGGCCACTCATCTAAAATAAAAGACAACATCATACCTTATTCTGATCTTCTGGGAACTGGTTACTCATGGTTTATATCCATAGAAGTGTTATCACATGATTTTGCTTATATCTCACAGTCTCATGGCTTCCGAGACGTGCAGCCTCCAGCTGTCACTCAAAATGCAGAAGGTGCTGAAATGAACCCTCGCAAACGGCCACGGAGAGAAGAGGAAAAGTAATTGAGATTCAAAAGTTGAATGTTAAAAAATGTGTGCTACAGGAGAACAGTTGCATAGTCAACGTGCAACCAAAGGTAGCCTGAGAGACTAACTTAAATTCCTGCTCTGGATGTTATTTTAACATTTGTGTGGCAGGAAATTCCTTTGTGTATGGCATAATTTTATAATAAAAATTCTATGTTTTCTATAACAAGAGGCTTCAGCTCTTTTTTTTTTTGGGGGGGGGAGTGGGGAGAGATGGAGAATATAAGGTTTTTTTACTCTGGGTAAAAAAGCAATGAAATGCGAGCATCTAGTAGAGTATATTTAATGACATAGGTCTTGACCATTCATCTGGTTTTATGTGTATCTGAATTTTAACAAGGTTTCATGTAGCAATCTGTTCACATGCCTCAGACCAGGGCAAAAGGCAGTGGAGCTGCTGATGGATGCTTTAAGATAAATACATGCTTAAAAGCTGTGCCAGATGGGGGCATTAGCCCTTACCTGCCGCAAAGTCCTTGATCAAGGACAATCAAAGCACTGTTTTGAACTTCTCATTTATCTTTTAGTGGCAACAATAGAGATGAAAACCTAGATCTGAAGGACAAAAGATTTAATCCAGCATGGTAATTTTCTGCTTCTATCATAGAAAGAATATTTTATCATCAAGCTCAAACCAAACTGCTGCATAGCCCTTAACTTCCATGTTCATTCTTTACCAAAGCATTCACAGTGAGCTGCTGTAATCAGGATCTGTTTTGTTCATGGCTTTGATAAAGAGGAAGCCCAGGCTTCTTAGACACCAGCAATATAGATTAGCAGCTCCCAAATCTAAACCAAATAAAGGAATGAATGTACACTGAAAATACAGCATGGTTTTGTCCTTTCTAGTAAGAGAAATCTATCAGATTATTAGAGGGAAAGAAAGGTACTGCAGTGCAAAATAGTAATTACTTCAATTATGAGAGGTGTTTGTACACATGCACATATATGACCCCTTTCTGGCATAGTGCTTGATAATGTTATAGCTGAGGAAACTAAGCCAGCAAGCTAAATAGAGAATTCAAGTTGTGGGAGTCACTATCTTTAATTTATAATTTAGTAACACTAAGCTGCCTTTGCTTTGAAACAAAATTCAGTGCTGAATCTGAGTCACGAAACCTGTCTATTCAAAAAGCCGCAAAAAAAAAAAAGTGGCAGTGATTTCTGGATCACTATAGTGTTTAGATATAAATTACATAATAAAGTATTAAAAGGAAAAGTATTCAGCTGCTACGCAGCAACCCAGGCTGTGTCAAAATTTCAAACCTGTGAGTCAGGGAGAAGCTCTCAAGCAAGCATGACACAGGAAGAAAGGCAGTGGGATTTGTGACTCAGACAAACATTTCAATGCAGGAGACACAGGCAAACAAAAGGATCCTACCGCATGTGATGTCAGCAAACGCTCCATTTGGGAATAATAGCTTCCTACGTATTGCAGTGCATGAAGGGGGAGCTAGCACAGTACACATGCCTACGTAGCCACAAGGAAAACCATCCATTAAGAATGTTGTAGCAGGATTTTAAGAAGCACTGCTGGTTACTAGTGATAGCTGCTCTCCACCGTGTTTGATATTTATGGAAAAATCCGTTTCTCTCCATTTACTGTGCTCTGATTAAATATCCCCAACACGTTCTTCCATGTGCGAGGAGAGTAAGGGCATGCCTCCAATACACTATTAATTTCAGCTGACTGTTGTTCTCTTATTTTGTTTGTAGTAGAGTAGCATCTAGAAGCCCCAGCTGAGATGCTGATCCTGTTATACCAAGATAAATCATTTTGGCTGAGTGCATGTTACATCTTCCAGTATTCCAGGCATCATTATCAAACTAAAAAAATTGTACAGTTACTGGTGAACAGTGGGAGTTACAAAACATCCAGAGGAGACACCAGAGGCTCTCTGTGCTGAGATTTATTTATTTTTTTTATATTGAAGTTATAATAAAAATCAGCTCTGCAGACCAGAACTAGAGAGAAAGATCTGTTGGCTGAGACAAAATTAGATTAAATGAGCTAGATTTTGTTCTCATCTGCTGGAGACAAGGAAGCTGTTCCAGGCTTAGAAATGAGTATAAAGAAAGAATTTGACCGTTGCCTCAACAATAAATCTTCCATGGCAAGTTGATATTTTCTTACGTGTGCCTGGAACTCTCTTACATTTCACAGCATCAGTGCACAACAGTGAGTGGAATGAGAGAATTCTATGACTGCACAGAAAGTAAGATTCTGACTAGATAATGTCACAGAACTGAGTCAAAAATAAAACAGGTTGTTTGACTTGCTGCTTCAGTCCCAGTTTTCTGAAAGCCAAAAGCTTTAACTATCATGCTGAGTTTAGAATTATTCCATTTTGTAGGGATGACATTTACTTGTGGTGTAAGATCCTACTTTGTCACCACAACAAGAACACAGCATCTACCACAGGGCTCGCCAACAGGAAAACACTGCGGTCACAGTATACTGCTTCTCAAGCCCAGAACCATGATTTGAAACTCTTCAGTTTGGACAGGGACAAAACCAATTTATTTCTTCCTGGTTTTATGTGTTCTGCCCCTTTTCCATTATGAAACACTGAGAAGCTAAACAGCTTCCAAGTAGAATAAATTTAAGAAAACATGAAGAAGAAATAGCTTAACATAAGGTAAGAAGATGTAGCCAAGGTCAAGTTCTGCAATTACAGTCTTGTAGTGAAGTCAATTACAAACTTGTTGGCTAATGTGGAAGGCAATTCAGCTGCTAACCTGGATGTTGAATACAGTGCTGAGAAAAGTACATTTAAAACATAACATTTATTTTTCTATTGAATTTAGTTATTTGGGGGCTCTTAACTTAGAATGTAAGGTATTTCATGGATTAACAACAAAGGTGTTGTTGAAATCCTTACTGCCTGCCTTTTTAACTCCATCCTTTTTCTGAACAAAAGAAGATACCTAAGTTGGAAAGAGAAGTCATTGTGTCCCAGCTTCTCAGATTGTCTTTACCATCCTGGGGATCATAATTATTTAGAAAGGCACATTATGCTGTATTATACTGTTTTAACACATGCTAATTCTGTATGAAATACATTTGATGAAATTTTTAAATACGGTTTGATGCTTTCTTGTCCTAAGATAGAGTACTTTGAGGGAAATGGAATAAATAAAGCACATTGAAGTAACATAAATGTTACAACAGAATACATAGGGGATATAATACGTCTTTTTATGGAATGAGAACCAGGGAAGTTAACCTGCAATTCCCAAACCAGCTGATACGAAAGGGCCCTGGCTAAGAGTATACACACAGGAGGCTAGCTGCAGGGAAATGTGGCACCGGCTGCTGGAGCTGGCAGTGCCTTAGGGCCGCCAAGCAGCCTGCCCAAGCCTCCTCCGCACCAGTCCTCCTCTCGACTTGAGGAACCAGTGCCAGCTGCTACCTGCTCTTTGGCTTCCCCTCTCCCTGGCTCCCCAGGCTGTGTTCCCAATGTCTTGTGGCTTCCAGCCATAGTGTCATTTTGGATGATTAGGGTCAGGAGAGTTGGCTTCTTCCTTTGGCTACTGCAAGATCCTGCATTAATGTTCTATACTGAAGAATGAAATCACTGGGAACTGGCCCCCTTCCCAGTTCCGAGTTTCACTCATAAAGGCACCCACTGTTAGATTGTAAGATACTGTCTTGCTTCCTACAAGCAAGAAATATTCATGCAATATGCACTATTTATTGAAGTCTAAGCTTTACGCAGTTTTAACTATACCTGTAGAAATAATAAACGGTATTAAAAGCAATAGTTCAAGCACTGCACAACCAGTAAAAATGTTGGATGATATGCTGAAAGGATCCATAGAAAAGTATGTATTTTACTAATTGATTCTTCAAGAATTATAGCTAATATTGTTCATTACAAGAATTACTTGTCATTGATTTAAATAAAGCCAGAGAAGCATCACAATACAAAATAAAATAAAATAAATAAATCACATTTCAGTTTCAAACAATAAGAAGGGGGAATATTTAAAACACAAAACATCTAGTGATGTATATGGGAAAGCAAAAAGGAATCTCTACAGACCTCAATAAATGGTTCTAATTGCATCTGGATGCTTTTCTAAAACATGCTGTTTGAATACTTGCTCAGTTTGGTATCTCACACTGCATTATTTTGGAGTTAGAAATTTATGACACGTGTACTTCTAATACTCTATTTAGTGTGAACCACTGCACTTTTAGCAACACAGTTACAACTACATTAGTGACTCTTTTTTGTATTATAGATGTTGATAAAATAAAATGTTTTGGGCTCAAGAACAAGTCTCCTCAGCATGAAAATTATGCCTCTGAAGTCTAGCATGTTAATATGAGACTGTAACATAATTTGTGACACCTTTTTTGCTGTATAAACTTACTACACATTTGGCTGTACATGCTAAGGAATACATCACACCAATGTATCTCTTTAAAAGTCTTTTTTTTTTCCTTTTTACAATTAGCAAAAATTTCTGTGGCTAAATCATAGAATTTGAGACTGTCCACCCACTGCATACATACTTCAAAATCTATGAATCCTACCACTCTATTTTATCTGTTCTCTTATAGCACATATATTACAAAAATAATAGACACAGCAGTGGTTGCTTTCTGGCACTCTTGTGACTGATTTTTTAAAAAAAATAATTTTAAAGGCATTTCTAAGTACATGCCTGTAAAATTCAAGGTCTTGTGACTGGAGCAGAATATCACAGAATCAGGGATCTAATCTGCAGTGAAATGATGAACAAGTCATTTAAAGTAAGTCCATGGAAGAGCCAATGTATTTTCAATCCCACTAGGCACCTGCCTTAAATTTTGCTCTCATTGTAGGATGAACCTCACTTTCCACCCTAAAAGCGCAGAATATGCACTCACTGTTATACCCCTAGAACAGAACATAAATGGGATTGAAGCAGTACATCCCTTTGTATTGCCTCCTGTGAGCAGAAGTGATTTGCAGGCTCAGGAATTCCAGTAGTGTTACATTCAGGCAGTATGGTACTGTGGGACTTCAGCCTCAGATGAAATGTGTTGCAAAAGTAGAAAGTACAGAGGAAGGCCCTGGCACAGTAGCACTGCCAGCAAGCTCTTCTGTTGTTTGCTGATATCCAGGAGGTCTGTGCCCCTCATCTCTGTTTAGCAGTAAAAGGAAATTATGCTGATGAAGAGTGACTGAT